GTCTTCGTTGGCGACGTCGTCGTCGTCTTCGTCGTCGTCGTCGGCGTCGGCGTCGTCGTCGTCTTCGTCGTCGTTGTCGGCGTCGTCGTCGTCGCCGCCGTCGTCGTCGTCGTCGTCGTCGTCGTCGTCGTTGACGTCCGTCGTCGTCGTCGTCGTCGTCGTCATTGTCGTCGTCGTCGTCGTCGTCGTCGTCGTCGTTGTCATCGTCGTCGTCGCGTCGTCGGCGTCGTCGTCGTCGTCGGTGTCGTCGTCGTCGTCGTTGTCGGCGTCGTCGAAGTCGTTGGAGACGTCGTCGGTGTCGTCGTAGTCGTTGTCGGCGTCGTCGTCGTCGTTGTCGCTGTCGTCGTCGGCGTCGCTGTCGTTGGCAAGTGCCACTTGGTACCCACCGTCACGGTCTTAAGAGAGTTTGCGAACCAAGTTGCGGATGGGTGGGTGGGATGTTTGCGCGAGCAGTGGAGTGGTCAAGCGCGGTGCAGGGTAGTCAGTTGCACCGCATAGATCGCACCGCATCGAGCGCGCAGCATTGATTGCACATCATGCATTGCACAACGTGGATTGCACCCTTCAGAGGGCACCACATAGCTCTACACATGATGCACGATCTGTCGTCCACTTCAAAGATGCACCACTTTGATTGCCCAACGCAAGTTCCACAACCTATTTTGCAATACATGGATTGCGCCACATAGATGGCTTCATATATGTTGTACAACGGAATGTGCTAGAAGCACTCTTTCGCGTCCACGCTGGCAACCATGGGGAAGACTGAGTAAGTATTCCTTCGTGGGGACTGCGTGGCGCGGAATGCTTGGTTATGTACCCTTTTGTGAGGAATCTGGGGGGACGTATGAATCCCCAGTAAGGAGTTCCTTAGTAATGACTCCCCAGTTAGGACTCCTCAGTACGGAATCCTTTGCAAGAGTGCTTCATGAGAAATCTGTGGCGAAGAATCTTTGCGAACGAGTTTTCCGCGCGGAATCCGCCGTGAGGAGTCTGCAGCCAGGAATTCGCAGCGCGGAGTACCGGCCGAGAAAATTGTCCTCGGGAATTGTGAATTTAGAAATCCGTGGGAACGAAGTCTTCGGCACGGAATGACGAGGGCGGAATGTTGAGTAAGGAGTCTTTGGCGCGGGGGGGCTCCATGGCAAGAAGACCCTCGTGAATTTTTCAGGAACCCTTCGAGAGACCCTCGGGAGTCCACGCGAATCCTTTCTAGGGGCCCCAGGGGAATCCCTGGCTGGAATCTGCGAGGAGTCCGTTCGGATCGTTAGCACGGAATCCGTTCAGACACTTCCAGGAATAATTGTGGAATCCCAGCGAGTCCCCTCGTCATTCCTGAGGATTTCATCACGGGTCCGCCATGCGTCCCTACGGAGTCTTCACGAAGTGAGGGATCTTCACGAGCCCGTTAGGAATGCAGGCGAATTCTTCCAGAATGCCTTAGGCTTCTCCCGGATCCGTTCCTTATAGGAATCTGTTTAGGAATTTTCGCGCATCCGTCGGGAATCCGCGCGGACCCATGAGGGGCCGTGCGAATATCCCAGGAGCCATTTGGAATCTGCGCGAATCGTTCAGGCGTTCTTGAGGAATCCCCGCGAAACATTTCAGAGATCATTGGGAATCCGTGGCAAATCTTCGCGGGCAATTGAGACGCCTTCAGGAACCCCCGCGGACCCTTTAAGAATCTTTCCGGGCCCCGGTGAGAATTCTCACGAATCCCAGCGGGAGCCTTGCGACCCCCTCAGGAAGAGAATCGTCGCGAATCCCTCCCTCCGGGATCCTTGAGGATTCATCACGACTACTTCAATGATATCTGGATCATCTTCACGCGTCCTTCAGGTATCCCCTCGAAACCCACAAGTCCCGTAGAATCCTCGCGGATCTGTGGAAATCCTGCAGGAGCCTTCTGGGGATCATCGCAGCTCCACGACAAATCCCGCACGCACGCGCGCGAATCTTCGAAGGGGCCATTCTGGGAACTTAGCGAATGCGTTAAGACCCCTGGACCCTAGAGGAATCCGCGGGGCCCCTTCATAGGAACGAAGGAATCCATTTGGAATCTGCACAAATCCTTGGGGCATCCATTGCGAATCCCCCTGGGAATCCCCGGCAAATCCGCGCGGATCATTCGGGCATCTCCGGAATCCTCTGGCATTCCCGAGTGGGTTCTTTGAGGTCCCGATGGGTCCCTCCGGATATATACCCAGAAGATTCCAATGGATTCCTGCGGTTTCTCCGATAGCCGCCAACGCTTCCTCAGTGATTCCCGCGGGTTCTTCAGAAGAGTCAGGATTCTTGAAGGATCTCATTTGGTTCCTGAACGGTTCTTGAAGGGGTCCTGCAAGATCCGCGCCAGAATCCCGAGGGCGACGCCCAACCGGGGAATGCTTGATGTCAAGGAAGAAGGGGGCGAATATTTAGCTGGGAATCGTTAGGAATATTTAGGAAGGAATCCCTTAAGGAAACGCTTTGAAAGGAGCTCTTACTAAGGACTCCGCAATCAGGAATCCCTCACGGAATTCCTGAGGAATCCTTGATGAAGCCCTTGGGAACCGGCGCGGATCCTTGAGATTTCCCTTAGAGATCCTTCCGGAGTCCGTTCGAAATCCGCACGAATCTTTTCGGAATGTCTTGTTGAATGTTGTAATGGTCTTCGGCCAGTGCCGCCGATCCGGGTGGCATTTGCGGGGGGGTGGTTCTGTTTTGTTTCCTTTGCATCTCGCAATGCGAAAGCGTGAACTCTGAACGGGTCTTCTTTGTCTGTGTGTATGCTTTTGTGTCTCATGAACCCCTTCCCGTTGTCTTTGCTGGTTTCCTTATTCTCCTTTCTCCTCTTCCTTTGCCAGTTGAACTGTTCGCGCTTCGCGTGCCCCCGCCGGCTCATCCTAGAACAGCTTGCTTGAGCACAGGAGGACGAAGGGAACGACGATTAAGTAGAAGAGCGCGAAGACGACCACGATGACGATGACGAGGGCGCCGACGACGCCGACGCGAGAGGAGTGAATATGAAGGCTAGATTTTTTATGGTTTTCGCTCCTGTCTTGGATCCTCTGGGGCCCGTCGGGAGCCTCGTGGGCCGTCTTGGGCCCTCTTGGGCCGTTTTGGGCCGTCCAGGGAGTCTTTTGGGCCTTCTGGAGTGGTCGGCGGGGCCTCTTGCGCCGTGGTGGAACGTCGGAAAGTCGAACAAAGCGACAGCCCACAAAACGTATAGAAAACAAGTGAAAATCAACGAGTGTTGCCTCTTGAGGACCTCGTGGAAGGCCTCTTGGGACGTCTTGGAGGTCTCTTGGGCCGTCTTGGGGCCATCTTGGGCGTCTTCGGGCGATCTTTGGGGGTCTCGGGGCTCTCATGGACCGTCTCCAGAGGCTTCTGCGGTCGCGACCACTCTTTCGACGAAGCCTCGAGATCGTAGTCTTCTGAAAAACCAGCCCCCGCAAAGCGCCGGAACACTCGCCCCCCGCTTCCACCCCTTCCCCTCCCCCTCTTCCCCGGCAGAGCCACCCCGGCAACCCCCCCAGAGGTTGAAGCTCAGCCTCATCCTCGAGACTGTAGCTGAGGCCCCTTCAAACTCGCACGCCGGAACTGCGGATCTAAAGAATCCTTGTGGAAGCTTTGCGAATCTTTCATCCTGTAGGATTTCTTCGCGAGTATTTCAGGCATCCCGTGAAATCCTCGTGAATCCCTGGGGCTTCCCCACGAATTCGTGAGGAAACCTTACGAATCCGACTCCGGGAACGAGGAGCGCCCACGAATCTGGCCTGGGAGTAGGCGTTGCCACGGTTCTTGGGCATTCACAACCAATCTTTGGATCTCTACGAATACCGTCGGCATTCCTGGGGGATCCTTCAAGAATCCCGAATGAATCCTGGAGGAATCCCCACGATCTTTCGAGGAATCCGCACGAATACCCCAGAAGCTGTAGTCACGAATCGCTAAGGTATCCTTGAGGAATTCCCACGAATACCTTCCGAATCCGTCGGGGGTCCATCACGACTCCTCACGGATCCTGGAAGAATCCTTTTGAGCAATCCCCATGCCTTGCAACTCAGATCCCTCAAGAACCCTGCAGAGGTCCTCACGAATCCCAGGGCAACCCGTGCGAATCACTGGGGAGTCACTTTGGGAATTTTCGCAAATCTGCGAATCGTCACATCGTCGCGAATTCGCCTGGGGTCCTTGAGGATTCCACATGACCCCGTAGGAATCCCGGAGGAGTCCTTACGAATCTTTGAGGCATCCCCCAGGGATTTGCACGAAACCCGTAGCATCCTCACGGATCCCGTTGGAATTTTGAGGAATCCCAGAGGAATCCGCACGAAACCGTGCGAATTCCCCACGGACTTGTTTGCTTGTATTTTAGGTGTTTTTCGGCAACCCAATGGGAGTCTTCGCGGATCCAAGACGAACCTTCGACACATACTACCACTCCCTAAAGAAGTCATGAAGGAACTCAGCGAGACCGTCAATAATACGTTCTACAGGCCGTAGGAATCCGTAGTGAATCCGTCTGGGATGTTCACGCCCTGAGGGGGCTTCTTGGAATCCTTTCTAGGAGTCCTTTCGTAATCCCCAGGGGCCCTTGGCGAACCCGCACGAATCCGTCAGAAATCTGTTGGACCCCTTGATATTCCCTTGTGGATTTTTGAGCCCGATGGATTCGTCAAGAAACCAACAGGATCCCCACGGATGCCCGTGGGTCTCCGAAGTGCCCCCGAGGTTTCTGAGGGGATTTCTATCGGTTCCTCAGGATACTTGTAGATTTCTGGTGGCCCCTGACCGATTACTGTTGGATTTCGCAGGATTCACGCAGGATTGCCGAAGGATTCCTGAAGGATCCTGAAAGGTCCCGTTGCGGTGTGGGCGTGGGTGTGCCCCCCACCCCTCCCGCTGGGAGGTCGCGTTCTTGGTTCCCGCTCTCGTCAAAAACAATAACAAAACGAACAAAACGAACGAAGGGCTCGCACGCGCATGGGGCCACCGCACACTGCGCGGCGGCGGGCAACACCGAGAGGGAGATCGCGAACTTCATCAAGCGCCGTGGTCGGTCGGTGGCTCCGAGGGCCAGGGTCGGGGGCGCCGCCGAAGCCAGGGGCGCCGCCAGGGGAGGAGCAGTGAGAACGGCTCGGGGGCGGGGTGGGGGGTTGCTGTCCGCGCGTGGGTCCCGGAGCTTTGCCGGGCCAAGATCGGCGGGTCGCTGTTGGCCACTCGTGACCGCGGCCCGGCCCCCCAGGGGGGGTGGGGAGGGGTACCCCTGGCGGCCCAGGTAGCATTGGATCCGGCCCGCCGACGTCGGCGTTGAGAAGATCGGGCGAGAAATCGAGACGCGATCTTCCGGCCTCGTCTGCTTGAGGCTTCTATCAATGGCCCTCCGGGCTGGCCCACACACCACGGGCCGAGAAGGAGTTCGACAAGAGGCATTCCCCCTTCTGGCACGTCGTGGTGGGCAAGAACTTCGGCTCACCGACTCGAGGGCCAAAAAAGTAGCAAAGGCATCGAGTTACGGAGGTCCACGCAGGCTTTTTGGGTCGGCGCGGGGCCCTCCTTTCCCCAACCCTTCTTTCTCTGGCCCGCGGGGGGCGCCGGGGGTGGTGCCGGAAGCCACGCGCGAGAGAAGAGGGGGGGCTGGGCGGACCCAAGAATCCTCAAGATCGTTTCGCACACCACACCCTCCCCGCCCCAGTCATATTCCACCGCCCGGGGCCACTTTCAGTATACAGAAGCCACGCCCCAGGGAGGGCATTTTTTAGATCACGCCCACTACCAGGACCCTCGCCCGCCCCCCCGGGCTTTTGGGTACAGTATGCAAATGTTCTGGACGGAAAGATATCCGCGCGGGTCTCTGACAGCTTAAGGGACTTTGGTGGCTTCGTCGGTTTGCATGCGTTCCGTTGCTTTTCTGATGGTGAGCCCCTTTTCGGCGTTCCTCAAGTTTTAGCACGTGCGGGGGGCGGGGTTCCAATCACGAAGGCAAATCATGGCGCAACTCTGCTAGAAAGGGGAACGGCCGTTCCCTCAGATGTTACGCTCGACTTGGAAAACAGGGGCGCCGGTCTTTATTCAGTTCCTTGTTTCAGCAGCCCGATTGTGTGGCGTTCTTTGTTTACCTTAGGCTCGTACGTCACGCATGAGACCAAGCACTTCATCTACTTCTGCCTGGGCCAACACTCGATACTCGTGTTCAAGGCAGGCTAAGCGGTAACCTTCCTCGCCGCCGTGGCTTCCTCCCCGTCGTCCTGGACGCATTCACTGCGCGCGCCGTAGGGGGTGGGGGAAGGAGGAGGAGGAGGAGGACGACGAGGAGGAGGAGGAGGAGGAGGAGGAGGGGGAAGAGGAGGAGGAGGAGGAGGAGGAGGAGGGAGGAGGGCGAGGAGGGGGGGCAAGGAAGGAACGAGGGGAGGAGGAGGAGGAGGAGGAGAGGAGGAGGAGGAGGAGGGAGGAGGCAGAGGAGGAGGAGGAGGAGGAGGAGAGCAGGAGGAGTAGCAGGACCAGGAGCAGCACCAGGAGGAGGAGGAGGAGGAGGAGGAGGCAGAGGAGGAGAGGAGGAGGAGGAGGAGGAGGAGGAGGAGGAAGAGGAGGGGGATGGGGAAGAGGAAGAGGAGGAGGAGGAGGGAGGAGGACGAGGAGGACGAGGAGAAGAAGGAGGAGGAGGAGGAGGAGGAGGAAGAGGAGGAGGCAGAGGAGCAGGAGGAGGAGCAGCAGGAGGAGTAGCAAACCAGGAGCAGCACCAGGAGGAGGAGGAGGAGGAGGAGGAGGAGGAGGGGAGGCGGAAGAGGAGGAGGAGGAGGCGGAGGAGGAGGAGGGGGGGACGGGGACGGGGGAGGAGGAGGAGGAGGAGAGGAGGAGGAGGAGGAGGAGGAAGAGGAGGAGGAATTGAGGAGGAGAAGGGGAAGGAGGAGGAGGAGGACGAGGAGGAGAGGGTGGACGTTGTGGAAGGGGGAGGGGGCATCTCGTTTAGGGCGCCCCTCCCCGCCTAGGGCCCTTCGAAGCGCGAGGGGCCGACGCGCGGCGCGCACGCGCGCGAACGGCGCGGCCCAGCGGCCTCTGGGGCGAGTGCGACCAGCGGGGCTAGGTGCGCGGCCGCGCGGGCGGGCCCCCCCGCCGGGCTCCCCCTCTCCCCCGTGGCGCCCGCGGCGGTGACGGCGGTGGCGGCGGCGTCTTCGGCAGCGGCGAACGGCGACGTCGCCGCCTCAGCCGATGCCGACACCGGCGTGGCAGCTGCAATGGCCGCCGCCGCGAGCGCCGCCGTGGCCGCCGCCGCCGCCGCCGCGGCCGGGGCCGCGGCCGCGCGGTTCTCGGCGCGCGCGGGCCCCGGCAGCGGCGGTGGCGGCGGCGGCGACGGAGCAGGAGCGCGGCCGCACGGGCGGCCCCTTGTTTCTCCGTGCGCGTCCCACTACTCGCAAAGTGCCTACTCACTCGCAAACGTCCCCAAAAAACACATACTGCCTCGATGTAAGGGATCCTCAATCGTCCGAGGCGGATCAAAGCCGTTTGCGAGTGGTTACGTGTTGCGAGCAGTGGAACGCGCTTGTCTATTGTCAGACCTCCGACGCCTTGGTTGGAAATGCCAGGTGTTGGGGGGGCGCTCTTGGCCTCCGGGGCCCCGTTGTTCCGGGACCTCGCGTTGGGCTGAGCGTGACCTCGAGCGTCTTTGGTCTTGGCCCTTGATCTTTCTATCCATTGGAAGCATTTCGGTCTGTTTGGGGACCTCCTGGAGCGCCATCGCGACCGTCACAGGATCTTCCTGGCGATGCTGGCCAGGGGGTCGTTGAACGCGCCCAGGAGCGGGTTTGGGGGTCGATGTTTGAGGGCCACCGTTGATGGTACCAGCAAGTTGGATGCACATGACACGGCTGGCCCGTGCGAGAGTTGGACACACGTGTGGCCAGATGTCCCTCCTGCGCTCGGTGTTCTATGGTATTCTCACGCTGGGCTTCCGGATGGGTATCCGGCGCGTGGCCTCCGGATGCCCCACATGGAAGTCCAGCCATGTGTGTTTCCAGCTTCCTGGCAACTCTCCCCGACTCGTCCTCTCTGCCCCTCATCAGCGGAGGAGGGGCAGAGGGCACGGAGGCGGGGCGGGCAGGTAGGGCGGAGGAGCGAGAAGGGGGAGGAGGAGGAGGAGGAGGAGGAGGAGGAGGAGGAGGAGGAGGAGGAGGAGGAGCAGCAGGAGCAGCAGGAGGAGGCGGAGGAGGCAGAGGAGACGAATAAGAAAAGCAATCATGATAATTCAGGAGGAAAGGAAGAGAACGATGAGGAGAAGGACTCTAACACAAAGGGAGATGCGAAGGAACAATGGGGAAGCAGGAGAAATAATGAAGGAGGAACGCGCGGGAACGAGGAGGATGACGAGGATGTTGCAGGATGTTGCAGGTCTGATTTCCACAGTTGCGAGGCACGCGCCGCGGCGACGATTGAAGACTCACTCACCCCAGACCGTCCCTGGGCGATAGCGGTCGACTTTGGTCAAAATTAGGCTCCAGCTTCGCCCCCCGCTTGTCGCAAGAGGCTGGCTTTGGTGCTCTCGACGATATTGGGCTCCAGCTTCGCCCCCCGTTTCTCGCAAGAGGCTTTCGACTGGCTCCCGATGAAATACAACCCTGCCTCGCACGATTGCTCCCCAGCCTTCCGCACACGAGCTGATCCCAGCACTGAAATTAGTAATGTACGCCCCTGCATTTTCGTGCACGACTGTTCCTAGCGAAGTTAGTCAGATGCTTTTGGGCTCTATCATCGCCTCCCACTTCTCGCAGCAATTTTCTCGCAGCGCCAGGGCCTGCGGGGTGCATAATCCTCATCCACGGCCACTGCGCGCCCCCTTCTTGCACGGACTGCTCCCAGCGTTGTAGCTGATCGTGGCCCACCCGCGCGTTTCGCTCAGCACCAGCGTCCGGTGCCACTGCGCTCGCCCTGTCTCGCACGGACTGCTCCCAGCGTTGTAGCTGATCGTGGCCCACCCGCGCGTTACGCTCAGCACCAGCGTCCGCTGCCACTGCGCTCGCCCTTTCTCGCACGGACTGCTCCCAGCGTTGCAGCTGATCGTGGCCCACTCGCGCGTTTCGGTCAGCACCAGCGTCCGCTGCCACTGCGCTCGCCCTTTCTCGCACGGACTGCTCCTAGCGTTGCAGCTGATCGTGGCCCACTCGCGTGTTTCGGTCAGCACCAGCGTCCGCTGCCACTGCGCTCGCCATTTCTCGCACGGATTGCTCCCAACGTTGTAGCTGATCGCCCACCCGCACGTTTTGTTTTGCACCAGCGTCTGGTGCCACTTCGCCGGCCCTTTTCGCACGGACTGCTCCTAGCGTTGTAGCTGATCGTGGCATACCCGCCCGTTTCTCTCAGCGTCAGCGTTTGCTGCCACTGCCCATTCCCTTTCTCGCACGGACTACTCCCAACGTTGTAGCTGATCTCCCACACGCACGTTTTGCTCAGTGCCAGCGTCCGCTACCAGTGCTCGCTCCCTTTCTCGCACGGCTTGCCCCCAGCGTTGTAGCTGATCGTGGCCTGCCCGCACGTTTCTCTCAGCCTGCCTCCAGCACCTCGCGTTCCAGCCAGAGCCTGCTGCCACTGCTCGCCCTTCTGGCACGCGCTGGCTTCAACGTTGTAGCTAAGGACGTCTGGCTCCTGCTTCGTCTCCGTGTCTCGGAGTCTAGCCAGCGCCTGTTGCCACTGCCTTTTTTTGCCCGCACGCTCTCTCGACGTTGTAGCTGAGCACGTCGAGCTGTTTCTTTACCCTCGCCCGCTCTCGGAGCCAGGCCAGAGTCTGCTGCCACTGTTCGCTCTTCTCGCACACGGTGATTTCAGCAATGTAGCTGATGAAGGCGTCGGGCCCCTGCGCTTTGTTGCCGGTGTGCTGCGCAGCGACACGGGTACTCGCCAGGAGGAGGAGGAGGAGGAGGAGGGAGGGGGCGCGGGAAAAGAGATAACGCGAGGAGAGGAGGACATCCTGGCCCCTCTGCATGGGCCTATTCACGGCTAGGTGCCGCTTCTTGATGGCCCATAGTTCTTGATGGCTCCCCGATGCAACGCCGCTCCGAAGTTCGCATCGGGAGCGCCCGAGCGGCCCCGCGCAGGGAGGGGCCGCTCGGGCGCGGAAAGGGATGAGGATGAGGAGGAGGATGATGATGATGAGGAGGAGGAGGAGGAGACGAATAATAACAGCAAGTGACAATTAAAAAGAAAAGGAAGATAAAAATTAGGAGAAGGATCAGAACAGAAATGAAAAGACGAAGGCAGAATAGGGAAACAGGAGAAATAATGAAGGAGGAAGGTGCAAGAACGAGAAGGAGGAGGAGGCGGAGGAGGAGGAGGAGAATAATAGAGGGAGGAGAGAGGAGAGAGGAGAAAGGAGGGAGGAGAGAAGAGAGAGGAGAGAAAGAGAGGAGAGGAGAGAGCAGAGAGGAAAGAGTAGGGAGGAGAGAGGAGAGAGGAGAGAGGAGAGAGGAACAGGAGCAAGAAAAGGAGGAGCAGGAGCAGGGGCAGGAGCAGGAGGAGGAGCAGGAGCAGGACGCGGAGGAGGAGCAGGAGGAGGAGGAGCAGGAAGAAGAGGAGGAGGAGGAGTAAGACAATGAATGGGGAAGAGGAGGGAATTGGAGGGAAAAGGGGGTGGGTCAGGAGTTGGACGGGGGCGGGGCAGCGGCATCACCAGGAACACCAGGAGCAGCATGAGCAGCAGGAGCAGCAGGAGCAGCAGCAGCGCCAGAGTGGGGGCGCAGGACGATTCGGCGGCCACCCGTTGCCCCAGGGGCGCGAGGCCTGCACGGTGCTTCCCGCCCGGCCCATCGTCCTCCGCGCCCGCGCCCAGGCCGCGGCCCCGGTTCGCACCGCCCCTGCGCGGCCCTGCCGCACATCCCCCAGGCCGCGCCCCGCCGCGCGGCCTCCGCCCCTCGCCGCCGCGGGCGCAGCGCGCGGCCGCTGTGGGCGCGCGCTGCCGGGCGCAGCCGCGCGCCGCATGGCGCCGCGGGGACCCGGCGCGCGCCGCGGGCGCGGCTTCCGCGTGGCACCGAGCGCCGTGCTCCGCGCGGCGGGCGCCTGCCTGCTCGTCGTCGCTGCGGGGGGGGACCCCCGGACCTCCCAGACCCGCCCTCGCGTCGTGGAGGGATCATGATGGAAGGTGTTGCGCTATCAGGGGCGTCCGCGGGCCCCCGCCGGGCTTCGGGACCGGCAAGAGAGGACTCAAGATGAAGAGCTGGTCGCCAGGATGGGATCCACAGCTGTGGGGCTTCACAGTATGATTTAGCATCGCTCGGACGTGTGCGCCACTTTTCTCGGCGA